AAGGTATTTTAAACATTAAAAATAAATATATATTCTAACCTAAAAACAAAAATTCTAAATAATATATTCTAAAGATTATGAATTATTTAGAATATATATATATATATATATATATATATATATATATATATATATATATATATATATATATATTATATATATATATATATATATATATATATATATATATATATATATATATATATATATATATATATATATATATATATATATATATAAGTATAGTCTAATATGAATGATAATCTTGCTGGCATATTGTATTGCATTGCTGTTGTTGATGTAGTGGTGAGTGTGTGTGTGTATGTCTGTAGTGTTTGTCGTTGTCTGTATCTCTGTCTGTCCTTCTGGTTTGTCTCTTTACTTTCTCTCTCTGCCTATGGTGTAGTTGAGCCGCCCCCTACCCCTACCCCTGTTTGCCTTGCCTGTATTATTGTAGGGTCGGACTATTTTTAACCTGCCAGCATGTTTGGTTAGTAGGGCATGTACCTAACCCTGCCTCCCCACGTCTGTGTTTCATGGATGGCAGGAGGAGTGTTCGGTGTGTTAGAGAGATGGATGACCCGCTGTGGCCTAAGGTATACACACACATCAAATCCACCCCTCACCCCTTCCCCCTTCTCCCCCCCGTCTATCAATTCTCTTCTTATTTCTCCTCTTCCACTTCTTCCATCTCTTTCTCTCATTTGTCTCTCTCTCTCCTCTCCAGTCTGCCTGCCTTTCTGTACACGTTCACTCTCTCTCTCTCCTCCGCCTTCCCCCTCTCTCGGTTTCTCTTTTTATCTCTGTTTGTTTTTTCTCTTCACTCTGTCTCTCTTTTCTTTATCTCTCTTTCTCACCGCTTGCCTCTCTCTCTCGGTTCTTCTCACCTCCCCTTTCTCTGTCTGTTTGTCTTATCTCTTTTTATTTCTCTATATCTGTTTTCCTGTCTCTTCCACTGATATGGCATAATGTACACCATCCTCTCTCTCTCTCTCCTCTACCAACTCGCTCCCCTGATAATGATGATGATGTTGATAATGGCTTTGTTTTGGTTTTACTAACTTTATTATCTTTCTATAGCTTATAATGATGGTGATGATGATGGTGGTGATGATGATGATGGTGTTAACGGGTGGGTCATGAACTGTATTCATTGTTATGTCAGATGATGGTGATAGTGATGATAGTAATGACGATAATAATGATGATAATGATGACGATAATAATGATAATGATGATAATGATGACGATAATAATAATAACAATGATAATGATGCACGCTTTCTAAATATAAATAGCATTAAAGAAAGAAAACGTGGGCAGTACTGAGGGGTAACTATAGGATATTCAGGCGTGGACGCTAATTCGCTGCAACATAGTCAAAGGAATGTTGTGACAAAGAGGAAAATGTTGATGTAATAGAAGTGGGAGGGGAGGTTCCTTGTGTGTGTGTGTGTGTGTGTGTGTGTGTGTGTGTGTGTGTTACGAGGTGGATGGCATATATGACTGTTTACTCTTGGTGTTTGAACTCAGCAACGTAAAAGAAAATGGTTGGGGAATGTTTATATCACCTTCCTAGGGTGTGTGGGGCTGTGTATAGGGTGTGTGGGGCTGTGTATAGGGTGTGTGGGGTTTGTATAGGTGTGTGGGGTTGTGTATAGGGTGTGTGGGCTGTGTATAAGGTGTGGGGCTGTGTATAGGGTGTGTGGGGTTGTGTATAGGGGTGTGTGGGGCTGTGTGGGTGTGTGGGCTGTTTGTGTGGGGCTGTGTTGTGGTGGGGCTGTGTATGGGGTGCGTGGGGCTGTGTATGGGGTGTGTGGGGCTGTGTATAGGTGTGTGTTGTGTATAGGGTGTGTGGGGCTGTGTTAGGGTGTGTGGGGCTGTGTATAGGGTGTGTGGGGCTGTGTATAGGGTGTGGGTTATGCATGTCTTATCTGCTTCCTAGTATTGTTGTTTTTGCTTCCGATAAACAACTAATGTGTGAGTTTTCTTTCTATTTGCTTGATACTGTAGACATGGATGCACATATAGAGCTCTGCATGTACACCTGCATTATGTACACACACACACACACACACACACACACACACACACACACACACACACACACACACACACACACACACACAACAGCGGGTTTTATTGAAATAATCCACATCTGAATAATTAATCTTTTAACTTTACATATTATTAGCAGTGGTGAGCTCAAAGCTTAACTCCAGCTGGAATGATATGCCTCCTCCTCCAAACTGACACACCACAAACCTGCAAAATACCTCCTCCTCAAAGGTGACACTCCAAACCTCCAAAATACCTCCTCCTCAAAGGTGACACTCCACAAACCTCAAAATACCTCCTCCTCAAAGCTGACACTCCACAAACCTCCATACCTCCTCCTCAAAGCTGACACTCCACAACCCTCCAAATACCTCCTCCTCAGCTGACACTCCACAACCCTCCAAAATACCTCCTCCTCAAAGCTGACACTCCACAAACCTCCAAAATACCTCCTCTCCAAAGCTGACACTCCACAAACCTCCAAAATACCTCCTCCTCAAAGCTGACCTCCACAAACCTCCAAATACCTCCTCCTCAAAGCTGACACTCCACAAACCTCCAAAATGCCTCCTCCTCAAAGCTGACACTCCACAAACCTCCAAAATACCTCCTCCTCAAAGCTGACCTCCAAACCTCCAAATACCTCCTCCTCAAAGCTGACACTCCACAAACCTCCAAAATACCTCCTCCTCAAAGCTGACCTCCAAACCTCCAAAATACCTCCTCCTCAAAGCTGACACTCCACAACCCTCCAAATACCTCCTCCTCAGTGACACACCACAAACCTCCAAAATACCTCCTCCTCAAAGGTGACACACCACAATCCTCCAAAATACCTCCTCCTCAATGACACTCCACAACCCTCCAAAATACCTCCTCCTCAAGGTGACCTCCCACAACCCTCCAAAATACCTCCTCCTCAAAGCTGACACTCCACAAACTTCCAAAATACCTCCTTCTCCTCAAAGCTGACACACCACAACCCTCCAAAATACCTCCTCCTCAAAACTGACACTTCACAAATCTCCAAAATACCTCCTCCTCCTGAAGGTGACACTCTAAAACCTTCAAATAAAATAATGATACTACTTCCTGGTTCCGTTAATAGAACAGGATCGATTGAGACGACTTGACACGATTCGTCAAAAGAAAGTGTGTTAAGTGTGTGGTGAGTGTGTGTATGTTTAGCGTGCGATAAGTGTGTGTGATTGTGTGTGTGTGTTAAATGCATAATGTGTGTTAAGAGTGTGGGTGTGTGTGTGTGTGTGTGTGTGTGTGTGTGTGTGTGTGTGTGTGTGTGTGTGTGTGGAGCAGAACAACCTAGACCTATATTTAAAGTTGTGGCGGTGAAACTATTTATTCTTGGCACCATTGGCACTCTGGCACTGTTCTTGTGTGTGTTGTGTTATTTTGTCCACTTTGGCATTATTTCTCTTTGATGAATTCACTTAAACCGCCTAACCTAACCTAACCTGACCCTACATAACCTAATCTAACCTAACCCCACCCCTACATAACCTAACCTAATCTACCTGACCCCTACATAACCTAACCTAACCCTACATAACCTAACCTAATCTAACCTGACCCTACATAACCTAATCTAACCTGACACTTACATAACCTAACCTAATCTAACCTGACCCTACCATAAATCCAGCCCCTACCATAACCTAACCTAACCTGACCCCTACATAACCTAACCTACTCTCTAACCTCCTAACCCCTACATAACCTAACCTAATCTGCCCTGACCCTACATAACCTAACCCTAACCCTAACCCCTACATAACCTAACCTAATCTGCTCTGACCCCTACATAACCTAACCTAACCTGACCCCTACATAACCTAACCTAACCTGCTACATAACCTAACCTAACCTACCCCCCCCCCACCAGGTAGCGCTTAGGTGGTTAAACAAACATATTGAATAAGTTTGCTGAATGTGTTTGTTTTGTTTTTCTTTTTTTGTTTAGTAACCTTTATAAGTAAGTTGTTATTGTAAGTTTAGTTTATTTGTTTCTTTGTTGTATCCTGTTTCCTGTCCTTGTTCTTTGTTAGTTATTGTTTTCTTTCTCATTCTGTGTATTCTCTCTCTCTCTCTCTCTCTCTCTCTCTCTCTCTCTCTCTCTCTCTCTCTCTCTCCAAAGCCATCGACCCCACCTAATCCCGTTCCCCTCCCCTCATTCCCCTACCACCGCCCTCCATACCCTTCTTATCATCCCTGCCCCACATACCCTGCCCCCACATACCCCCTCTGCACACCCCTACCACCCCCCCACATCCCTGCCCCCACATGCCCCTCCATAGCCCCTCTGTGCCCTTGCCCCCCTGCTCCTGCCCCACATGCCCCTTCACAGCCTTCACACACACACATGCCCCCCACATCCCCCTACATCCTGCCATGCCCACATGCCCCCCTCCCCACATGCCCCACCACCGCCCCACATACCCCTGCCCCCACATCCTGCCCCCACATGCCCCTCACACATGCCACCATACACATGCCCCCTCTTACACATGCCCCCACATGCCCCCTGCCCCCCCATACCCCTACACATACCACCCCCCATGCCCCTACCCCACATACCACCGCCCCCACATGCCCCTGCCCCCACATGCCACCGCCCCCACATGCCCCTACACATGCCCCATGCCCCTACACTGTCCCCCCTGCCCCCACATACCCTGCCCCCCACATACCCCTACCACTGCCCCCCGCCCCCACCGCCACCCCATACCCCCACCGCCACATCCACTATCCCCCACCGCCCCACATGCCCTACCACTGTCCCACACCCTTACCCCCCACATACCCCTACCACTGTCCCCATACCCCTACCCCCACATACCCCTACCACTGCTCCCCCTACCCCCCACATACCCCTATACCCCTACCCCTGCCCAGAGACTACTAACAGGTGTGTGTGTGTTTTCCAGGGGAGCCTTCTCTGTCGTCCGCCGGTGCGTTCAAAAGACGACTGGCCTGGAGTTTGCTGCCAAGATCATCAACACCAAGAAACTCTCAGCACAGGGTAAGTACATTGTGTACATCACCTGTGTACACCTATGTTCACTGAGTACGTCATCTATGTGTACATCTATAATCACTGTGTACGTTACCTGTGTGTACATCTAGATTATGTTCAATGAGGTAATATATACCTCATAAATTCATGTGTACATCGCCTGTGTACATCAAAATCATTTTCACTGAGTACATCACCTATTTTCATATGCCCTCCTATATCCATGTGTACATCGCTTATATACATGTGTACACCGCTTATATACATGTGTACATCTATGTTTACGTGTACATCGCATATGTACACTATTATAGTCACAATAAATACTATCTATGTACTGTACATTATTGTGTTCACTGAGTACTTTATTTGTGTAAACTTCTGCTAAACTGTTGTACACCTTATTGCTTACTGAACACCCGATCTGTGTACACCATATTGTTTACTGTGTACACCATGTTGTTTACTGTGTACACCATATTGTTTACTGTGTACACCATGTTGTTTACTGTGTACACCATATTGTTGACTGTTACCATATTGTTTACTGTGTACACATATTTGTGTACACCATATTGTTTACTGTGTACACCATATTGTTTACTGTGTACACCATATTGTTTACTGTGTACACCATGTTGTTTACTGTGTACACCATGTTGTTTTACTGTGTACACCATATTGTTTTCTTTTTCCTTCTCAACTACATCCATTCCCTCGTCCTAACTTCCTCCTCCTCCGCCTCCTCTTCTCCTCCTCCTCCGCTTCCCTCTCTTCCTTCTCCTCCTAACCTAATTCCATCCCTTCACCCTAATCTCTTCCACCACATCTCCTACTCCTCTCTTCTTCCTCTTCTTCTTCCTCCTCTTCTTCCTCCTCCTCTTCCTCTTCCTCCTCCTCTTCCTCATCTTCTTCCTCATCTTCAATCATCAAACGGAAATGAAAATCCCAAACAGAAAAAATAAACACCAGGTTACAAACATTCAGGCACACACAAACACACACGCACTCAAACACACTCACACTCAACCACACACACACACTCAACCACACTCATCATAATAGCATACAACTTTACAAACACATTCTGATGAGGTCAACAACACACACACACACACACACACACACACACGTCAGATGACTCACCATAGAGAATGTCTTTTGGCGGGAAATTGTGATGAAACGAACGAGAAATTATGGAACGTAGATGAAACATTATGGGAAATGAATGAAAAGTTATGGGAATGAATGAAACATTATGAGAAATGAATGAAAAATTATGGGAATGAATGAAAAATTATGGGAATGAATGAAAAGTTATGGAACGTAGATGAAACATTATGGGAAATGAATGAAAAGTTATGGGAATGAATGAAAAGTTATGGAACGTAGATGAAACATTATGGGAAATGAATGAAAAATTATGGGAATGAATGAAAAACTATGGGAATGAATGAAAAAGTATGGAACGTAGATGAAACATTATGGGAAATGAATGAAAAAGTTATGGGAATGAATGAAACATTATGAGAAATGAATGAAAAGTTATGGGAATGAATGAAACATTATGAGAAATGAATGAAAAATTATGGGAATGAATGAAAAATTATGGGAATGAATGAAAAGTTATGGAACGTAGATGAAACATTATGGGAAATGAATGAAAAATTCTGGGAATGAATGAAAAATTGTGGGAATGAATGAAAAATTATGGAACGTAGATGAAACATTATGGGAAATGAATGAAAAGTTATGGGAATGAATGAAACATTATGAGAAATGAATGAAAAATTATGGGAATGAATGAAAAATTATGGGAATGAATGAAAAGTTATGGAACGTAGATGAAACATTATGGGAAATGAATGAAAAATTCTGGGAATGAATGAAAAATTGTGGGAATGAATGAAAAATTATGGAACGTAGATGAAACATTATGGGAAATGAATGAAAAGTTATGGGAATGAATGAAACATTATGAGAAATGAATGAAAAATTATGAGAATGAATGAAAAGTTATGGAACGTAGATGAAACATTATGTGAATGAATGAAAAATTGTGGGAATGAATGAAACATTATGAGAAATGAATGAAAAATTGTGAGAATGAATGAAAAGTTATGGAACGTAGATGAAACATTATGTGAATGAATGAAAAATTGTGGGAATGAATGAAACATTATGAGAAATGAATGAAAAATTATGAGAATGAATGAAAAGTTATGGAACGTAGATGAAACATTATGTGAATGAATGAAAAATTGTGGGAATGAATGAAAAAATAATGTAATGTGTTATGTGTTATTAAAGCCTTATGTGTTTGTGAAAGTTTTGCCGCTATAGCAACCGCCACGTCACCATACTCCACCATACTCCACCACACTCCACCATAGCACTACACACCACCACAGCACCACACACAGCACCACACTCCACCACAGCACCACACACTCCACCACAGCACCACACAAAGCACCACACTCCACCATAGCACCACACTCCACCACAGCACCACCCACCACAGCACCACGCACCACCACCACGTCACCATACTCCACCATACCCACCACACTTCACCACAGCACCACACACAGCACCACATTCCACCACAGCACCACACTCCACCACAGCACCACACACAGCACCACACTCCACCACAGCACCACACTCCACCACAGCACCACACACTGCACCACACTCCACCACAGCACTACACACAGCACTACACTCCACCACACCACCACACACTCCACCACACTTCACACTCCACCACAGCACCACACACAGCACCACACTGCACTACAGCACTACACTCCACCACACTTCACACTCCACCACACTTCACACTCCACCACACCACCACACTCCATCACACTCCACCACAGCACCAGGCTCCTCCATCTTTTATTTCCTTAATGATATGCAAAAAGCAGCTTTCTCAGGCCAGCACGAGTCTTGGAGGCAGACTTGTACCCCGGCGTCGTCCCAGCAAGTTTGAGAGCCAAGATTAGAGCTTCGTGCCACCGAGGGAAGTTGAAAAGATCCTCACTATAACAGCATAACAACAGCTGGAGGACAGCATAACAGCACCGAGGTAACAGCATAATAGCATCGTCCCACTGAGGAAAGTTGAAAAGATCCCTTACTATAACAGCATAACAGCAGCGAGGAAACAGCATAACAGCAGCGAGGAAACAGCATAACAGCAGCGAAGAAAGAGCATAACAGTAGCGAGGAAACAGCATAACAGCAGCGAGAGAACAGCATAACAGCAGCTAGAGAACAGCATAACAGCAGCGAGGGAAGTTGAAAAAATCCCTCACTATAACAGCAGCTAGAGGACAGCATAACAGCTAACCTAACCTAACCTACCCTAACTAAATGTCAAGGAAAAAAAATACAATACTATTGAGACGCTACTTGTTGCCACCCATCGTAAGTTACACACCATGGCCACCCTTATAACGATGGCCACCTACACTATGGCCACCCCTACACCATGGCCAAGGAGGAGCATGGCCAAGTGTTAAGGGGGGGAGGGGAGGGGGTGCGGGTGTGATTAAGTTGGATGCAGCAGTGGATATGCAGACCCACCCAGGACAGCCAACACTCGCAGCTTTATTGATCACGTGGCGTCGCTGGGAGGCTGTACAACCCCCCACCTGCCACCATCATCCCGCTGCCTCACCATCATCCTGTTGCCTGCCACCATCATCCGTTGCCTGCCACCATCATCCCGCTGCCTGCCACCATCATCCCCCACCATCATCCATGCCTGCCACCATCATCCTGCTGCCTGCCACCATCATCCCCCACCTGCCACCATCATCCCGCTGCCTGCCACCATCATCCCCTGCTGCCACCATCATCCCCCTGCCTGCCACCATCATCCTGCTGCCTGCCTGTTGCCTGCCACCATCATCCCGCTGTCCTGCCACCATCATCCCCTGCTGCTGTGCCACCATCATCCCCTGTCATGCCTGCCACCATCATCCCCCTGCCTGCCACCATCATCCGCCACCATCATGCCTGCCACCATCATCCCCTGCCTGCCACCATCATCCCGTTGCCTGCCACCATCATCCCCTACCTGCCACCATCATCCCGCTGCCTGCCACCATCATCCCCTGCCACCATCATCCCGCTGCATCCTGCTGCCTGCCACCATCATCCCCCTACCACCATCATCCTGCCTGCCACCATCATCCCGCTGCCTGCCACCATCATCCCCCTACCTGCCACCATCATCCCGCTGCCTGCCACCATCATCCCCTACCTGCCACCATCATCCCCTGCCTGCCACCATCATCCCGTTGCCTGCCACCATCATCCCCTACCTGCCACCATCATCCCGCTGCCTGCCACCATCATCCCGTTGCCTGCCATGCCACCATCAGCCTGCCACCATCACCATCATCCCGCTGCCTGCCACCATCATCCCGCTGCCTCGCCACCATCATCCCCCTACCTGCCACCATCATCCCGCTGCCTGCCACCATCATCCTGCTGCCTGCCACCATCATCCCGTTGCCTGCCACCATCATCCGTTGCCTGCCACCATCATCCCGTCATCCCGTTGCCTGCCTGCCATCATCCCGTTGCCTGCCACCATCATCCACCATCATCCCGCCACCATCATCCCGTTGCCTGCCACCATCATCCCCCTACCTGCCACCATCATCCCGTTGCTGTCGCCTGCCACCATCATCCCGTTGCCTGCCACCATCATCCCCCTACCTGCCACCATCATCCCGCTGCCTGCCACCATCATCCCGTTGCCTGCCACCATCATCCGCTGCCTGCCACCACCATCCGTTGCCTGCCACCATCATCCCCTGCCTGCCACCATCATCCTTGCCTGCCACCATCATCCCCCTACCTGCCACCATCATCCCGCTGCCTGCCACCATCATCCTGTTGCCTGCCACCATCATCCCGCTGCCTGCCACCATCATCCGGTTGCCTGCCACCATCATCCCCCTGCCTGCCACCACCATCCCGCTTTA